GGTGAAAGACCTTGATATTATGCCATCTGATGATAAGTTGAGATCTTTAGGGATGTTTAGTCAAGAGAAGCTGCACTTCTAGGGGAAGACATGATAAGTCTTTGAGAAGTTATCCCCTGGAATATGTTTTAGTGCTGTCATTCCGTGCCCCAACAGAAACAGGAATGCTGAATTGGGAAGGTTGTAGAGAGGCAAATTTCATTTTGATCTAGGGAGAAGCTTCCTATCAGAGTTATGTGAAGGTGAAATATGGGCTACCTTGGAAGGTAGCATGTTCCCCGTCTTTGGAGTTCCTCAAGCAAAGGCTGGATTACTACCATTTCTTAGATATGTTGTAGAGGAGAGGCTCTAGTACTCAAGTACTGGTTGGGTAACTGGTCTATTAAGTTCCTTCTGAATCTGAGAGTCAGGGATTCTGTGGTAGAGATCCAGGCCAGGCATGGTTACACTGGGAAAAGGAGAGGGCATTAGAGACTGGTCCCCAGATCCCACGTAAATGGGGAATTTTATGTAGGCTGGTGAAGCTTAAGGAAAAAGTAAGAGAAGGAGAAAAGAAGCCTTTAGTAAATGGTTGGTTGGGGAAAGCAGGGACTTACATTAAAAGCTAGTGACCTTAATATATGTTTTTCTGGACCCATCATTTCCCAAGAAATAGGTCAACAAGCTGTTGCTTTGCACTCATGCTGAATGGGCTAGTAGTGGGAAGACGGGAAGATAAATAGCTTTCCTTTCTGACTCATCTGAGCCACACCTTGAAGTGACTAAGGCAGGTTAGCCTTTTGCCTAGTTTGTAGATTAGTATGATGAGAAGGACAGCAACTAGGCCACCACACCACCATTTCCCCCCCTCTTACTCTGCCAAAAAAAAAAAAAAGTTTGGCTCCCATCTGCTCACCTAAGCTTGAAATTCCTATAAGATAACTTAGGGCCTCTGATTCCACAAATAAAAACATTTTTAATAATGAAGTTGTCAGTATATCTGGAATAACCAGATTAGCTTTGTTATGAATGAGCTTCAAAGTGGAAAAGACCATTTCAAATTCTCTTGTTTGGAGAAACAGGATGGGAATCCAGAAGGCAGTGGAACTGCTGCAACTGGATGAGGGGCATGGGGAATGAGAAGGAGAAAGCGAATAATAAAGGAGCTGGTGACCCAGGACACAAACATCACCATTTTGTCCCCGCAAGGATTGTTTCTCTTTCTCTATGTGCTTAGTATTTCATAGTCTAGTTCCCTTAGCAGAAGCTTCAGTCATCTGCCACTGTGATTTTTAGTAACATTGAACTCTTTAATTCTGTGTCTTTCTTGCCTGGTAGGCACTACTGCTTCTAAGGAAATAAAGGAAGGAAAGTATATCCTAAATATTAATGCAGTGTTTTAAGAGCCATATTTAATGGGCTAACTTTCTGGATGGTTATATTTTACTGACCTTTTAAAAAATTCTACTCCTTTATTTGACCTAAATATACAATAATGCCAGTGGTAACTAGAAGGTATTATAATTTTGTAAGGGTATAGGTGCTTTTGAGCTTAGGTCATGGTGGGTCACTACTTATCCTTTTGTGAATCTTCCAAGTCCCTTGTTTTCCTCCTGCATCTATGTTGTTGTGTAGCCCTGTTCTTACTAACTAGTAGATGGGTATTATGTGTGTGGGGGGATTAACATATGAACAGAATTTCATAGTAACTTCATTACTATGCTAGAGCAATTTGAAGAATAAAGAATGACTTCTAACTTCCTCTTCCTGCCCATTTTCTTTCTTTTTTTAAAAAATAGAACCCTCCCAACCCCCCACAGCAATCATTGATTTTTTTCTCTTTTCCACTCCCCTCTCCCAGAAAACTCGTGTAACATAAATATTCTTGTTCTTTTTCATAGCCACTCATAGGGCCCCATGATATTTGGGTGAAATTAAGGTGTGTTCATAAATTCCACTTAAAAATACAGTACTTTTTATTAAAAGCTATTGAGTAAAAAACATCATAGTGTATTAAATGTGAATTTAATTCGCCAACATAAATTTACACTATTCTTAGGGAGGTATTCATCTAAGTGAAATTAAAACAGTTTTTAGACTTATCTTGTAATAAGTTCATTGTAATAAATTCCTCTATTCCCTGAAATTCTTTTGATTCCTGTCCTTAATCGATTTCTACTTAAGCAAGTATTTTACTGTTTTCCAGTAGAAGAAAGCATTAGATCACTTAATAGTGCTAAATATTAAATTTTCTTTTTGGTCTATAGAAAACATTTCATTGTCTAGTTTCCTGTTAAGTAATACCAATGATATGTGTATATTCACTGAAGTTCTGACATCATATTAGAGCCCATTGGTAGATAATTTCAGCCAATCACATGGTGCTTAGTATCCAAGTAGGAAAGAGGAATAGTTCTGGAACAACAGGAAACTCTGTATTTTTAACATCCTGTTATTCTTGCATTTAACTGGTCTGGTGGAGTGCTGCCTTTTTCTCCACAATGAAGGTTAGTTAAATTTTGTCTATACTTTATTTCAAACTTCCAAGTTTTAGATAATATTTAAGTTTGACTGCACCTTTATCTAGGAGGCATTAGCTAATACAATTACTTTATTTAACTAATAAGGAAGGTGAGACCCAGAGGGTGGGGAAAAAAATATTCCTCAAAAAACCAAACACAAAATTAAGAACAAACAAACATATATTATATTATTTCTTAAGTTTGGATCACTCCTTGGGTTAAATGTTTTTTTTCCTCTGAAGTAGGATTTTTAGAACTTTTGAAATTATCACCTCTTATTGGATGTTCTGAAGCCTGATTTCTGTGGTAGTTCCTATTATAGAGGGGAGCTAAAAGCTGCATTACTAAATATGTAGAGTTTCCACAAATAGTCCAAATCTCTAAAGATTTTTTTCTTTGTTGCCTTTCATTTTTGCTATTAACTTTTATTAATTCTGAGTGAAAGGATACTTTAGAAATTTTTATGTATTAAAATACAGTACACAGTTAAGATAGCTAGCTTTCACTTTAACTTGCTTTAAGTAGTTTCTCAACTTTTTTTCTTCCTTATTTATCATTCATTAAATTATATTTTATATAATTTAGAAAGAGGCAGGAAGGTGGAGTGGATAGAGTGGGTCTTAGAGCCCAGTAACAATCACCGGTTGTGTAGCGTTGGTCAACTTTCTAGATTGTTAACTTGCAGGGAAGGTTCTGATCTGTATTGGTGACAGGGAATTTTCTCACATGGGAGTTATTTGTATCTGGAATTATAGGTCCAGATCCCATCTTTGTAATTTATTGTAGTCATTTTTAGTTGTCTTTTCATTAATGCTGGATGCACAAGACCAAAAAGCAAGTAGTTTTTCAGAACTAAAATACTTAACTAAAACGAGAACTCTTTTCTCCCCTTCCTGCAATTTTGACACATTATTTAAATGAATTTTCCTCCTAGACCTGTTACAAAGGATGTTGTTTAATTTCAATTAAAATTTAAGTGTTTGCAAAGTTCGTGGTGCTAAGGCAAGATGAGCTGGAAAAGTTTGGAAGATGAAGATTCAGAGCAGTGAAAACAAGGGATGTTTCTGTTCTTAGAGTTGTAGCCAGGACACAAATAATAGGTATAGTGTTGTATATCAATATGAACACAGGTGAGATAATTTATATTGACTGTGAACATATTAGATACTTAGTATAGACTGTTCAATGAATGAAAATATTTACTGAGTGCCTGCTAATATTCAGAAGAACATATTGATTAGATTATTCACATTTTTTTCCACAGAGAAATACTACATTTTAAAAAAAATCATAGTTTTGGTCGTTAAGTAACCTTACTTATTCCAGTGCAGCATTTTTCTCTATGTTTTGTGGCTTTGAGAAGGTTTTGATGTTATATTAGATTTTTTTTGTACTTTTTTGATAAGCATTGAATTAAGGGTTATGTTTCATTTTTATTATGTTTGGACTAAAGTGTGGAAATATTTCAGCTCTAAACCTGTGATCCTGTGACTCGATATCTTCTGCATTGGCCAAATGGTGGACTTGATCTTTCCCATTTCTAGCACTGACACATTTCCTTGAAGTGAACAACCTCAGTTATTTGTATGTTTTTGGACATTTCTATGTTGGAAAAAATGCAGCCTCAGATATAATTTTGGTCTAACTTTTAGTATTCTGTACAAAAGTTAGAAGTACTGCTTAGAAGTGTGTGTATATGGAATGAATAATTAGACAACCCATTTAGAGTTCATCACAAAATAGTGAGGGTACAACTTGGAAGAATTTTTAAAATAGATGTACATATCTTTAATACCAGATGAATCTACTCCTTATCACATTTATTTTGTCATAAATTAGCTTACTTATGTAATAATAAACACCCAAAGCCTCTTGGAAACACTAAGGCACCAGGAGTTCAATTTTCAGATTTTGCTTAGGAATGTGTAAGTGCCTTGTTGAATCTCTGCCTCTTGACTACTGTTCTGGTTTTCCATTCTGAATACCTCTTTTTGTCCTTCCCTTGCCTTTTATATTCATCTGTGAACTCTAATGGCATAGTGCTTTGCCATTGTTAACTCTGGAATGGTCTGCTATTTTACCTCTTGTCCCCTTAACAGGAAAAAGAGCCTCATCCTTCGGACCTATACCTTTTCCCTTGTTGAACTTCTCTGGGCTGGGTGCCAGATACTCTTCACTAATCTAACAACAGGAGGAAAACAAAGCTTTATTATTGTTATTGAACATTTGTTGAATGCAGTGCAGAGGAGCAAGATCTAAATCTCAGGTTAAAAGAGAGCAGAGCATGGGGGATGGTTGCTGATACTTTGGAAATTGAGCCAGAGCCTTGAGGATGGAGCCGGTATTCATAGAAATGAGGGAGTTCCTATTGGTTCTTGTTTCTCCATTTTTATAACCTTAGGCATATCCTTGTATCATTTGTATAGTTGATCATATGATTTAGCTTGAAACAAACCTGAAATTTTACTAATTTTACCTTTTTTTCCATCTCCCTTTCAGACATTTGATGCAAATGATCTTTATCAGGGACAGAACTTTAGCAAGGTTCTCAGCTCCTTAGTCACTCTGAATAAAGTCACAGCAGGTAAGAGTTTGTTCTGCTTCATTGAATTCTAGTTGGGGAGGGGGAAGGAAGAAGGTGACCTGGCATTATTATTTTCAAGAGTGTTTCAGTACAGAGCGCTTTTATTTACTGTTAATAGAGAAAAGTAAACGTTTTTCAGTTTGTTATTTTTAATAAGCTGTCCTTTCTTTACATTTACTTTGACTGATTTCTGTGTTTTATTGTTTTTTGTTATTGCGGGGAAATTCTACTCTTGAGTTTAGCACATCGTCACTCTGATATCTTAAGATTTGGGTATAGTTTTCTCATCTTAAAAATAGCAGACTTGGTGTCAGAAGGATCTAGGGAACTTTATCCTGATTTTCTCTTAAAGAGTTTGTGTTGATTTAGCCTGCCCAAATATCTAGTTAGCATTGTGGTACTGATCCAGATTAGTGGATACAGTGCTTTAATATTTAAGGATCTGAGATTTCCTTCTATCCAAGCATTCAGCCAGTAACTATTTATTTATTTAATTATTTTTCGGCAGTTGGGGTTAAATGACTTGCCCAGGGTCACACAGCTAGTTAACTGTCAAGTGTTTGGTCTGAGGCCAGATTTGAACTCAGATCTTCTTGACTTCAGGACTGATGCTCTATCCAGTGCCCCACTTAGCTGCCCCCAGTAAGCATTTATTAAGGGCCTACTATGTATCAGGCATTGTATTATAGATTGAGGACACAAATACAAAAATAAATAAATGCGAAGTAAAACCATACCTGCTGTCAAGCAGCTTCTGTTCTTTTGGCAGATAACAACTACTCTAAACCTTAGTTAATGGTTTAATGAGTTGCTGTAGTTTAAAAAAAATTGGCCAGCCCTCTCATGTGCCTTTTCAAACCTGTCACCACACTTGTACTGAAGGGCTTTTCACTTAGGACCTGCCAGGGCCTGTTTTCCACATATATAGAACATAGTTATTCAGATGGTATAATGACCAAGGAAAGTAGCTTTGGGAATAGTACCCCAGAATACATATGCTTTTTCAGAATCACGACAGCTGTAAGGGTACCCTGAAGCACCTGATCCCTAACCCCAGTTTATAGCTAAGTATATTGGGGAAACATCCTACTCCTATACTTGTGTGCTGAGACTGGTGGGGCTATCTTTACAACTCTGAGCCTTTAGAAGTGATGAGAAATTCTACTCTTGATTTTGTTCCTGGAAAACGCCTATGAATCCTATTTTGAAATTGGCTGTAGGGCTCAAAAAGGAAAGATTCTAGAGACTGGTTTTATTTATTTTTCAATCTTTCTTAATTTTTGCTTTGTGGGAAATTTAATAGGTATCAAAATAAGAGATTTAGCAATAGGATGCCCTTGATAGCATTTGGCTATCTAGATTTTTTTGGTCTTTTCTTAACTTCTTCATCCTTCAGCCATAGGGTACTAGGTTCATTTATAAATATGTGTATATATTATGTCCCTGTAACACACACACACACACACACACACACAATATGAAATTATGAGACCAGTTATGAGATTATTAAGAATCCATGTAATGAGGCAGTGAACTAGGGTTATTATTAAGAATGGAAAGGAAGGAATACGTTTGAAAGATATTGCCAAGGTAAAATAAAAAGAACCTAGTAATTTATTTATTAGGTGTGGATGGGTGAGAGAGGTGAGAATAATGTGACAAGCGTGGTAAATAATATTTAAACTGCCGATCCTTACTTCAGGGATACCCACAATATGACTTCAACTGATCTTTACATTCCTATCTTATCCTATTCCTTGGCCCATACTTTAAATTCTGACCAAACTCAGCTATAAAAATGGAGCAGTCAGGATGATGCTTATGCTTGTTGCGTTTGATCTGATGGTGTGACGGTATGCTCTGGTGAGATCCCAAACTCTTAGCTTCCCTTGAGTTGACTGTGGTCCAGTTTCCCGGGGTCCTACCATAGTGTTGGACTCACATGTCCTGTTGGATCAATCATCTGCATCCACTTTAGTCTTCTTTATCTAAGTATGTATGCTAAATTCCTAGTTGACTAGTGCTGCCACCCACCTCTGGCAGTAGCACTTGACACTGGTCACCTAATTTAAAAAAAAAAAAAGATTTATTTTTTGTTATGAACTTAAACACCCAGCAAACTTTAATATCTCAGAATTTAAAGAAAAACACAAAAAGGATTATGAAACCATAAATTTCTGTGATATGCCAACTTTTTTTTGAAGTTTGTATTAAATTTAATGTAGTATTTATAAAATTTCCCTGTTTGTTGGGAAGCAAGAGTTTGGCACTCTACCCTTGTTGTTTAGTTGTGTCCAACTCTTTGTGACCCCCCTTTTAGGGTTTTTCTTGGTTAAAGATATTGGAGTAGTTTGCAGTTTCCTTCTCCAGCTCATTTTACAGATAAGGAACTGAGGCATACAGGGTTAAATGACTTTCCCAGCGTCACACAGCTAGTAAGTGTTTGAAGCCAGATTTGAACTAATGAAGATGAGTCTTCTTGATTCCAAGCCCAGTGCTCTATCCATTGCTCCACCTACTGCCTCTTTAAAAGTGTATATTAAATTTAATATGGTAGTTATAAAATTTCCCTGCTTGTGTCTTGTTCTGACCTTTTGTTTATTTGTTAGTGTTTGATACTCTTTTTTTCTTTCTTTTTGTATCTCTGTTACTTTCCAGTCTTCACTCTGTTCTTTGGCCCTGTCACAGAAACTCTTCCTCATAACATTTAAGTGTTGTCAAGCAAAAACAACTTAGCACATTGACTGTCAAGAAATTTATGTCTCATTTTGTATCTCTAGTTCATCGCTTCTCTGCCAGCAGAGGGTGGTATCCTTTATCAGTCTTCTGAAGTCATGATTAGTTACTGTGTTGATCAGAGTTCTGTAGTCTTTCAGAGTTGTTTTCCTTTACATTATTGTGATCATTGGATAAAGTGGTCTCCTGGTTCTGATCATTTTACTCTATATCAGTTCATATAAGTCTTCACAGGTTTCTCTGAATGCATCCTGTATATAATTTCCTATGGTACAATAACATTACATTAAATACCATCATTTGTTTAGCTATTCTGTAATCAATGTGCACCCACTTTGTTTCCAGTTCTTTGTTACAATGAAAGAGGTTGTTTAGCAAGGTTTGGGGAATGGATCACAGACTGCAAGGTGTTGAAGAGTGAGCTCTTAAAGGAAGTAGAGGTGGTGAATGTAGACTGTTCTTTCTCAAAGTTGGATGGTGAAGGTAAGAAATACAGGACTTTAGTTTAAGTAGTAGGTTTTTTTCCCTCTTAGGGTAGTCTAGGGGCTTGCTGTTCAGTTTGGTTTGTGGAATGACATAACAAAACCAGTTAGGAAGAGACTGAAAATGTATGATAAGGTATTTTTAATGATGCAAGATCAGAGGAGACAGAAAGAGACAGGACAGAGTGTATAGGTAGCTCTGGCAAGGAGAGAGTACATCTTGATTTTTTAGTATTGGTGGGAAAGGGAAAAAGGATGAATGGAGACATTGAGAAGTTTAGAAAAAACAGAAGAGGAAATCCAGGGGAGTTGATATCTCATAGCCTCAGTCTTCTCACCCAAGTAGGATGTCATGTTATTGGAAAGTTTTTTGGGGTAGGGAGAGTGTGCTTGAAAATCAGCCAGAGATGAATGAGAAGGATGATAAAAATGCAGTGAGAACTCAGTTGAGGTTAAGATAGCCTAATTTTTAATTGAATTTAGTTGGCAATTTAGTGATTTTTCTCTAGTACTGTTGGGCTGCTCAGGAGTAAGAGTTATCTAGTGTTGAGGATTAGCAGAAATGGAATGTCAAGAGGGCAAGGAATTTGAGGGCAGAGGAAGAAAGACATTTTTGAAATGGTTGATTAGAATGTCACGACTGACTAGGGAGGGAAGTAAGACTAGATGATGACCTGGGAAAATAAGAGGGAATTGACGTATCAAAGGTCATGGTGACGGCAGAGAACAGATATGGGAAGATTAAGAGAGTAGGAGAAATGGGAAGATAGAAGAGAGAGATCTTAGAGTTTAGGATCTTGGAAGGAGGATGCTATATTGGAAATAACACTAGGCTTGAGATCATTAGAAACTTGGCTATTACTACTGTCCCTGGCACTTACTTGTTGTATGACACTGGACAAGTCTTTTATAACGTCTTTGAGCCTCAGTTTCTTCTCCTTTAAAATAGGGATAATAATGCCTGAAGTGTCTTCTTCACAAGATTGTTGTGAGAGTCAAATGAGATGATGAATTTGAAGCTTTTTGTAAAATTTAAAGGACTATATGTATTTTGGCTATTATTATTGAAGGCAGGAGAATGGCAAGATGATGAGGATTAAGGCATGATTTCCCTGTTGAATGATTTGCAGAAAAGTAGAACTAGATGTTGTAAGATCTAAGGAATTTAAGGAACTGAGAGGGCAGGATTTTGGAAGGTTAACATCATTGTAGATATTGAAGTCTCTAAGGTCTGATGTAAGGTGAAGCGATCAAGGACCAGTTTGGAAGCTGGGTTCCAAAGACATGGAAAGGTAGTAGAACATTTAGGAGATTTTTTAGGTGACAGTGCCAGATTGGGAGAGAATAGCATAGTTGAACGAAATAAGCTTCAAAGCTAGAGATTGGTTGCATAGCGATGGACCAGAAGTGATAAGAGATCAAGGAGTATACTTCTTCCCAGACTTTCTGATATAGGGGAAGTAGTAAAAAGAGCAGCTAGTCTTAAAAAGGGGTATTAAAGATGTAGAGTGCTCAGGGAAAATCCAGGTTTTTAATTATTCAGTGAGGAAGAAAGACTAAGAGAAAGAACTCTAGAATGGAGAGAGGGAGTAAGGCATAATAGAAAAGGTCAGAAGATATATAGCTCATAGGTCTATACCTGAAATGACCTCAGAGACTATTTACTTCTGAGCCTCTAATTTTATAGATTAGGCTTTGAAACCCAGGGAAGCAACTAGCTCTTTAAAATTATAAGTATTTTAATTGCCAGAGGAAGACTGAGTTTCAAATCCTGTCTCTGTT